CCCTCTCCCTCTCCCTCTCCTCACAGGGTCTTGCCACATGGTTCATGCTGGCCTTCAACTCAAACTGATTCAAAGTAATCTTCTTGCCTTAGCCTCCTGAGTGCTGAGATTACAGGCATGTGCCACTATGGCCAGTTTAAGACTTCACGTTTGAGTTTCATTCTTTTGTGGATGAACTTTTTAAATATCCCCACAGAGAGTCTTCTAGCATTTTTTTTTTCTCTTTTTGGTTCAGGCTAACTTTGAACTGGCTGTGTAGTGCATACTGGCTTTGCCCTCATGATCCTTCTGCCTCAGCTTCCAGTGTGCTGGAATTACAGATGTGCATCACCAAGCCTGGCTTTAGGATTGTTTTATTCTTGTTGTGAACTTTTATCTTACTTTAGTAAATTGTATTCTGCTGAATCCTTACTTTAATGAGGTGAATTTTGTTAATTTCATTATTTTGATGGTCATATTATCCTAAGTTGGCCAGCAGGCACTTTTTTGATATCATTTTTCTATATCTGTTTGATAGTGCTTCAGAGAGAACTTCCTTTCTTGTTTCCTGCCACAACATGATATTCCAGGCTTATCTTACACTTTTCCTGCCTAGCCCCATGACTAGCCATTTCCCTAGAGTCCTGACTTCTTTTTGTAAAAAGTGGCATTAATAAGATCTTGTCATTAGGTTTGGTCATTGCCCTTGGCATGTCACTGATTCAGGTCCATTCAGTGGACAAAGCTAAGGCATTTGTGTGTATGTTGTTTTACATGACCAGTGTTCTAACCCCTGAGCTATGGGGCCACTGCCTTGTGTGTATGTTGTTATATGAGTGAATGTGTGTATGTATGTCTGTGTGTGCATACAAATGTATACATACAGACATTTATATCTGTGTTTACTTCAATATTGTTAAAACTGAATTCGTGTTGATACTTCTCATTAAAATTCAGTATCACAGCTTCTTTTCTATTTGTCTATGTTTGTATATTTGTATTTGTTTGTTTCTCATCTCTGACTTAGAGACACTTGGCTCCTATCATCCTTAATATTTTTACTTATTTAATTATTCTCTCTGGATGTAACCCTGGTTTGGACACCAGTCTCCCTTCTCTGCTATCATTCATTATGCTTGCTCTGCTTGGACTCCAGCTGTCTATTCTGGGAGTAGTTCTTCATGGACTTTCATGATAAACTATTGTTTGCTCACATTTGTGAGTAAATAATAAATAAAAAGCTTACTAAGCAGCTTAGCATGGTGGCACAGGAGCATTGCAAATTTAAGCCTAGCCTGGGCAACTTAGTGAGGCCCTGTGTTAAAATGAAAAGGGGAAAAGAAAAAGGGCTGGAAATTTAGATCAGAGTGAAGGCCCCAGGCTTAATTCCTAGTATACCAGAAAAACAGCAAACAAGTCCTTATGAAAAACTCTGACTGTATGGGTAGGATTTAAGTTTTATTTTGGAATTAGTAGGTCAGAAACTGGTCATTGCTGTGGGTGACCCATAAATTTCTCAGTAGTTATTTTTCTGAGAAAACAGCATTCATTTATACTGCTATAACTATCCTGGTTTCCTCTTAACTGGTTCAATTGTTTGATTAATGTGTGAGGTTTTTTTTTGTTTTTTTTTTTTAACCTTGCGAAGAAAAAAATGCCCGATGTCTTATGAAGTTTTTAAGGTTGATAATGGCTGTCAGCTGTTCCTTAGAGAGACTGTTTCTCTTCTTTTGAGCCCTGTGTTTTACATGAGCCCACCTATTCTGAACATCTAGTCCTCTGGGGTTCTGCAGAGCAGTTTAGTACTTTAGTTATATCTTCCCTCAGTTCTCTTCCTGGCTTCATCAGCTATGCATGCGTTTTTCGAAAATTTGTATTTTTTTTCTAAAAATCTTATTGGGATGTTTTTAGCTGCAAATAGAAATTGTGTCTAAAATTTATTTTAAAAAAACCTACTTTGTGTAACACGTCTAAAAGTATTACAGATCTGGGGTTCATTTTGTTTCTAAGGTCAAATAAAACACCAGAAGGAAGGTCAGAATCCATTCATCCCATGCCTGATTGAAAACCATTCCCTGGAGTAGGTAATAATGTGTGATTGGAAGTTCTGTAAATGGATTGTCTCTGACCTACAGCATTAGATAGTGTGGCATTTACTCGAAGTCTGCATTTAAACAAGAGTCCTTGGCCGACTTAATTGTACGTATTTGAGAAGTGTTGGTCTAGGTACAGTTAGCTGGGTCCTCCATAAGACTGCAGGGAAGGTGTAGGAAGGGGTAACTTCTCTTGTGGGGCTTGGAGGGGGAAGGCTCCTGTTGTTATTTGAATCCTTTAGCTCATTTCTGGTTGTTGGCCTGAGGCCCTCAGCAGGGATCTCCCTCCCTTGCTTGCTTGTGGCTCTTGCTTCCATAGGTGGCTTACAGATATAGCAGGGAGTATCTTCAAAGCCAGCAAAGAGAGGAGGCCCCCTAGCAAGGTGGGTATTACAGCCCCACTAATAATACACAATAAATGATCTCTGTAATATCCTATTGTTTATAAGTCAGTCACAGGTCACATCTATACTCCAGGAGAAGGAATTACACAAGGATATGAATATGGAGGTGGGTGAGGTCATGGGTACCACTTCAGAGTCTGTCTGCCACAAAGGGTGTACATCTGACTGTAAGAACATATAGAGAGATGAATTATGCTTTGTGTTTCTGTTTAGGCTCCCACTTAAAAGGAGTTCTGTGCTATATACTATGATAATGAAAGTTGCTAATATAGCCAAGTATTTAAAATTGAGACAAGCCTTGATGATATCTTTATAGAGTGTTAGCTATTGTTGCTAACCAGATCCTGTAGTTCTAAGTTTATTAATATGGCTTACAGTGTTTTGTGAATTAGATTTTAGATATTTTTTTCCTTTTTCAGTTGACTATATTGTGGAGTATGACTATGATGCTGTACTTACAGTGTTTTGTGAATTAGATTTTAGATATTTTTTTCCTTTTTCAGTTGACTATATTGTGGAGTATGACTATGATGCTGTACATGATGATGAATTAACTATTCGAGTTGGGGAAATCATCAGGAATGTGAAAAAACTACAAGAAGAAGGATGGCTGGAAGGGGAACTAAATGGGAGAAGAGGAATGTTCCCTGATAATTTTGTCAAGGTAAATATTTTCAGTTAAATTTTAGCCACTGCTTCATAGAATTTAATCTTTAAATTTTAAGAAATATGTACATATACTGTATATGGAAATATTTTAGATAATTTTTTTACTCTAGAATTTAAGTAAAATGAGGTCCAGAGAACTCTATAATGGATTTGATTATTGCTTGGTGTCTGCTGGATAACATCATTGTGTCTTTAGGTATATCTGTGTGCCTGTTACATTAGTTTATGTATCTACCTATTTGCAAGTTTCTTTGAAATAAAAAATAGCTTGTGTTTGGGTAGCACTTTGTAATTTATGAAGTAGCTTTTCGGTACACATTCTCATCTGAGCCTATGGTAATCTTTTTTTTTTTTTTTTTTGAGCCTATGGTAATCTTGTGAAGTAGGTAGGTAATATCCCCATTTAAAATATGATAACATTTAGATGGAAAAGTTAAATGATCTGCCCACTATCAGATAGTCAGTGAGACTTAGAATCTGAAGTCTTTGAGTGTTGCCTGACAGGTCTTTTATTATACTTTGTTGCTTCTCTAGACCTGCTCAGAGTGTGTTAGATCATACTTTTTAAGTTTCAGCATTGCAGCAATTATCTACCAAAGTAACAATTATTCTTCAACTACCACAATCTTTTTTCAGTAAATATTCTAATTATTTGTGCTAGAAAGCAGTCTTTAAGACTCTTAAATCTGCCGAGTGAGATGGTGCACATCTATAATCCCACCACTCTGGGAGGCTGAGTCAGGAGGATGGAAAGTTCAAGCTTGGCCTGGGCAATTTAGGGACTTAGTGAGACCCTATCTCAAAAAGTGAAAAGAAAAAAAAAAAAAGAGGGATAGGGATATAGCTTAGTGCAAAGTCCCTGGGTTCAATCTCAAGGTGGTGATGGTAGTGGTGGGGAGGGGAGGGGAGGGAGTGACTCTTAAATCTATTACAAAGTAATAAAATTCTCAGTTGTTTGTGTGGGGGAGGAAAGAGTGCCTGTGTATTTATATATCATTTATAAATACTATGATATTTTAAAAATTTACTTATATCAATAAATTTTACTTTATTTCATCCCATTCCCTCCCTCAAGCCCCTTCCCCTCCCTATGTACAAAAACAGTGGTATTGTTTCCCATGTAGTAGGTTTTTTTTTTTTTAACATGCAGCTTCATCAGATTGAGTTTAGTGGGGCTTGAATTTGAGTCTTATTTGCTTTTCCAGCTTGCACAGTAGTAATGAGCAGAATACTGTGAAGCATGCATGTTTAGTTAATATTTGTTTTCTGACTAATTTATGTATTTTGACTTGTAGTTTTGCTTCCAAATATGAACACTGTTATGACTTATGTGTAGCTATTCCTCCAAAGCCTTATGTGGCCATTGGTGGGTCACCTTTTCCGAGGTGGGTCACCTTTTCTGAGGTGGCTGGATATGGGGTGTGTGATGCTGGAATCAAGGGTGTGTGATTATTAGATTAGTCCACTGACTGGTCTGGCATAGTTCTGCATAGCATTAAGGGTGCCCCAACCTGGGTGTGAGTGCTGCCCACCATAAGGGCAGGTAGCCTGAATAAAATGAACAGAAAGAGGGGTAGTGTCGTCTCTTGTCACTTGCAGCTTTGCTTCTTCACTGCTTTGCTGCTTTCTGCCCACCATGAACTGTTTCTCCTCCCTGGTGCCACTTATAGTTGGAGCCAGCCAACTATGAACTGAAACCTCTACAAATGAGCTAAATAAACTTTTCCTCTCTTAACTTTGGGTGTTGGATATTTTATCTCAGTGAGAGAAAAGTAATTAAGACAATTTGGTACTAGGAGTGGCGTTGTTGCTATGACTGTACCTGACCATGTGATTCAGGAGCCTTGGGAACTGGCTTGAGGAAAGAGTTTGGGAAGGTTTGGAGATGTTGGCTGAAGCAGCTGCCATGGAATGCCTTAAGCTGTATTTGATGGGAGACTGGTCAGAGCTGAGAAGACCAGGATGCTGATAGAAATGCTGCTGGTAAAGACCAAGCTCAGGAGGTTTCTGCTGGGAAGGACTGCATTGGCTGTTGGACTCCAGATGATGTGTGTTTTCCCTTGGTAGAAAGTTGGTCTGCATTTTACTCATATCCAGAGACTTTGCCTGAGACTGAGATTAAGGGCAGCAGATTAATCTGGCAGAAGAAATTTCAAGGCAGTCTAATGTTGAGGCTGTGGCGTGGCTACTGCCTGGGGCTTTTAGCCAGATTTATATTGACACTGAAGAGCAAAGAGCCCAGCAGAAAGATTTAAAATGTTTTGAGTTTGGGCAGAAAGGAAGCTCTATTAAAGTTGTGGCCTGCAAACATGGAACAGAGGAGAAATTGGTAAATGAAAAAACTAGCAAGAAAAAACAAAGTATTCCAGAAGAGTACAGTAGGAAAGATGGCCTGAGGACATCATAAAAGCCAGTAGAACTCTACCCGCTGCAGCCTCAAAATTGCCAAAGTGAAAGATTTTGTTTTGAGAAGAGAGACCCAGAGCATCATGTTCCAAAATGGCAGCATCCTAGGGAAGTTGTTCTTTAGGATTTGGTTCATAGGCACTTGAACCCTGCAGCCAAGAGGGAAGGAAGCTTTGCTACTGCTCCAGCTGCTAGCAGACCTTGGCATACTCCACAAGGTGCTAGTTTTAGGTGCATGCAGAATGCAAGAGTTGTGGGGTTAGGAAGGCTTCCACCCAGATTTCAGAAGAATACCTAGGAGGCCAGGCAATATGCTCCTGAGAAGGCAGTATGTGAAGTTGTAAGAGTGAAGGTGAATGTGGAGTGGAGACTCCAGAAGTTTGGAGAAGCCAGGAACGTGGATCATCTGAGGAAAGATGCAAGGAGGGAGCAGAGCTGGCTCAAGAGAGAAGCCGTGGGAGCTACAACCACTGGCAGTGCTGTGCAGCAGAGCCACCCAAGCTCTTTGGAGTTCACAACTTGCCTCAGATTGCTGGAAATGCTGGATGTGGAACTGTAGGTTTTAATGTTTGCCCTGCTGGATTTTGGTCTTGCTTTGTTCCCATTTTTTTCTATCCTCCTGTCTGTAACTTCTGGATTAGAGGTGTCTACCTTGTGCCATCGTATGTTGGAAGTGTTTAACTTTCTAACTTGTACAGTGGTTCACAGCTAAGAGTTTGCCTTAAATCTCAGAGGAGGTCTTATATTTAGACTTCTCAGCAGCAATGCTGTTAAGACTTTGGGAACTCTTGGAGATGAACTAAATATCTTTTGCATGAGTGTTTGGGGGGTTGGCCAGAGGCAGAATGATATGGCTTATGTCTAGATGTCCCCTCAAAGCCTCATGAGGTCATAGTTGGGGCTTTTCAGAGGTGGCTGGATCTAGAGTGTGTGACGCTGGGATTAAGTGTGTGATACTGGCATCAAAGGTATGTGATTACTAAATTAGTCCACTGATTGGTTTGGCATAGTTCCGGGTAGGATCTGCCCCTTCCTGAGTGTGAGTGTAGCCTGGACAAGATATAAGAGACAGAAAGAGGATCGTTGCTTGTTGCTTGTCCCTTGTCACTTGCTCGCTGCTTGTTCCTTGTGCCTGCCCTGCTTTGCCATGGACTCTTTATCCTATGATGCCTGTCTACCATGCCACTCTGCCTTGGAGTCAGCTGACTATGGACTGAAACTTCTGAATTGTAAGCCAAATAAACCTTTTTCTTTTTAACTTTGAGTGTTGAGTATTTTGTCTCAGCAAAGAGAAAAGTAACTAAGACAAACATACACTTTATTCTGTTAATTTCAGAGAAGGCACTGTACTTTATGTAAGTACATTTTATCTCTGATAACAGAGAAAAGCTACAGTAGAGGATTGAATTTATGAAAGGTCACTTTCTTTTTCTTTTTTCTTTTTTTATGAATTCACTTTTTTTTTTTTTTTAATATAACCTATAGTGGAATGTAGTAGCTACTGTGGCATTTGAAATCGGAATCACTGGGTCTAAATGCAGTCAAGTTCCAGTTTTGCCCTTTATTGGCAGTGTGATGCTGGGCAAATCATATAATTTCTCTGCCTTTTCCACCTTAAAATTGTATATTAATAGACTGTAAGGAGCCATGACTTTGACCTCTTATTGTTTTCATTTAAGAGAATATGGGTTTTTAGAAAAAAAATTTGTTGTTATAATAGAACTCCTTTAAAAAGCACAGTTAAGTAGGAAGTATTAATATAGTTTTCTTGATCTTGTGCTGTTATGTATTCCAGGTAGTGGGGATGATCTGTCACAAAGTTCCATTTTGAAATGTATTTTACTTTCCTATTTCCTATTTCAGTGTGACTAATGCTAGAAATTTAATAAAATGCCTGCTAATAGAAGATACAGTTTATGAATATTCTAGGTAATAAGAGGAAGCTTAATCAGGGATTACTCATTAACCACAAGATACTAGATCACAGTCCGAGATAACATTGTGGGCTCATTTAGTTTAAGATTGTACAGGAATAGTTATATCATTGTATCTCTGTATGGATACATATACCCATATACATGTCTCAGCTCTTACTGCTGAGAGGGCTGAGAAACAGTGACACTCCAGTAGCAGTAAGTACACCCGGTGTTCAGGTCTTGATTTCTAGATAACACTCTCTAGTAAAAAGAGCCATACTCTTCAGGAAGTGTGAGTGTTTACAGAAACAGAAGGATGAGTCCATGCCGAAGGGGTAGGGAAGCCAGTCTGAAAGAGCTCCCAGTTGTCAGAGCTTCACCAATTTGATCCTCATAGCCTAGTCTTTGTTACCCAGTGTAGAATACCAATATATGATTCCATACCTAAAGAAATGGTTGATTAAATGGGAGAGGAGGGATAAATCTTATAAAAGAATTTCATGTCTCTGTAGATTATTTTTCTTTCCTCATCCCTCAACTCCTTTCAGAACTGTCCCTCTGTTATAGGAATAAAGAATTGGATGGAAATGGAAAAAATAATAACTCTAAACAGAGAAACTCTGTAAATACTATCTATATCAAGTGATCAGGATTAACATCACCAGTGATGAGT